TAGGTGTGACTAACACACTCAACACACTACCAAGTAACAATTAAATAAGAAAATAATAATTTCATAAAAAATACATTAATTAATGTACATTATATTTAAGTGTTAGATGAAAACAATCGTTCTTCTTTATAAGTGCAAGTAAAGAGTTTTGTAAAAGCAAATGGTACTCCACCATCACATAATCAGGTGATGGAGGAAAAACAACATTATATGCATGATAATGGTGTGAATAGTGCTCTGTCATAAGCAATTGATAAACAATAAATACTGATCTGTATTATTCACTAAAATATCTATAACAATGCCAAATACAGGACATTCTTTGATAGAATGAATAACAATGGCATCTTTCTTAAATTTCCTTCTAGAAACTTTAATCCAAGAAAGTCAATTTTTTAATGAACAATGAATGAAAACAGAAATGGCTGATTACCTTGTAGTAATTTCATCGACAGAAACATCAATGGAGCTGAAACTACTAACAAAAAAAATGAATCAGTATAGACCATTGAAGCTGTAAATATATGTATGTAAATATATGTATGTGAACAAAAGGTATTAGTCAAAAAATGAAAGTCACCTCGACCAGTTTGTATATCATTTTCAATGAACAGCTCACCACTGTTGGCATAGTAACACATTAACCTTTGTTGATGAAAAGCTAATGTCCTAGGAATGTCTTTAAAACATTTTACACGTCTAGCAATATCTTTAAAGTATGAATGTTTTCCTTCAAATTTCAAAGACCCATACTGACACAAATGTCCACATCTAAAAGCAAAAATCATAACACTTTCATTCTTCATATACAAGTGCTGACCTGCTAATAAATTCAAGATAATGAACGATAAAATAAAACTTTGGAGTAATGGAGCAATTAGAATAAAGTACTTGAAATTCACTATGGTGTTCCTCAATTAGAAAACGCTAATACGCTATTTCATCTTGTGAAATGATGGGTGCCAAAATGTAATCCATTATTCTTAGTAGTGTAAGAAAATTATCCCAGTATGGATCATTAACTGGAACTTTGTCACCAATAATAATAGGAAGGTATCTCATAAGGACCCACATTTGAATAGCTACAAAATTATGCAATAATTATTTTGATTAAACATTATAATGCAATACCTATTTTATTGTCATTAGAATGATAAGTTGTTTGAGAAATGCATGATGGCTTACAGTTGCTGTGAACATCAGGATAAGGAAAATTTGCAATAAAAGCATTAAGATCATCTAGTCTAAATGTACCACTACCAACAAAAACCTAGAAACACTATCAATTAATCATGCTTGCATAAAATTACCTTAAGCATTTCTTTTACTTCATATGGAGCCACTCCCTCTAGCACATCGTGTATTACATCAGGTACCATACCCTTTGCAACATGAAAATAATGTGATTTATTCAAAACAGAATTAAAGTTAATTCCATATGTGGTTGAAAAGTGGTTGTGGCCAGGACCATTTAATGATGCACATTGATTCTCATGCATTTCTTGATTTCACTTTACAAAACTGTCATCTAAAAACTATGCATAATTATATATAATACATTACTGATTAAAGTTAATGACCATACCTGTGTTTTCATAGTATCATCAGTACTCATACATTGCTGACAATTACGAAATGAGCCCAAGGGAGATTTAAAGCCACCCAAATAATTAGATGCTAGGTTATCACCAGAAACTAATGATATAGTTCCCTTAAATAAGTGCCAATTAAAAATAATACCATCCTACAGAATAATAATAACAAATAATAATAATAATAAGAATACGAATAATTTTAATAATAATAATAACATAAAATAAAATAATAATGTTAAACTTAGTATGGCACTGTTCAGAGCTATAGATTTATGTTTAAGGGATATGAGGTGTAAAATCAGGTCATTATATCTGAATGATGATGCTATCATTCACCTCAATAAGTAACAATAATAATTAATAACATAAATAATACTACTACTACTAATAATAATAATACCAATAATAATAATAATAATAGTAAATGTACTCAAAATATCAATGCATACTAACATTTTCAAGCTTTTTTATATCATCCATGAAACACCTCAAAATAATGTTCGTGCCATGCCTATCAATTACTGACAATTTAGCGAGTGCCAAAAGTTGATTTCCTTTTGGAGATGATCTAAATTTTGGGGAAGGTTTCCAAGAAAGTAATAAAAGAAACCTGGTAATATAATATGATTTCAAAAATGTTAAATTATTGAAATACTTGCAAATCTTATGGACTTTTGCCTTAGATCGAAGTGGAATACAGACTTCAGCATCATCATAGTACAGATTTATTTGAATTGAGTGATGACTTGAAGTAAATAAATGGTGTTCCTAAAAATCAGAACCATCGCAGTAATCACTTAATAAAACATCAGTTCTCCTATGACCTCTCATAACCTATACATTTACAATCAAAGAAATAACACAATTTTACGATGATAAATCTTACTTCACTAAAAATCAAATTATTAGTCAACAACTGCTCTAAAGATAGCAAAAGCGGTACTTCATACATATAATCATGCGTCATTTTAAGATATGCTTTGCCCTTCCTGTTCCTTCTTGTAAGCCTCATTCTGCTTCCCAGTGACATTCAATTGGTTCCTAGATGGCGAAATCTATAAGGTACACCAACACAAAAAGGATTAATTACTATTAGTCGTAATTTTTCATTGAAATACTTTTCTTGGTAAAACTTTGAATGCAATCCATGAAAAAAACTCGACCTTGCAGATTCAAATATATCATGAAGTTGAAGATTTGCCACATTTACACCACTTGAATTTATGCGAAATGTAACTTTTTCCTCAAGAACATTAACTTTATGCTGGAGAAACTCATCAATATCCCCAATTAGGTCAAGAAGTGAAGTCTCTGAAACTTTCTTAAGCTCTAACATTTTTAATATAAAGATTGCAGCTGCTTTTTGCTCATCTCAATGGTCAAAATCGTTTCACTCAAATGAAGTTGTAGCAACTTTTTCAATGATGTCTTCACATTCACGTACTTCAGTCATTTGATCTTTCACTGGTAATTGTGAATGCTGCAACTCCATTTTGTGTACCCAATACACATGTCTTTTAAAAGAAGAGAATTTGGTATATGTTCTTGGACAGGATTTAATACCACAGGTGACTCTAAACAATGCACAGTGAGCATGAACAGAGCCCATATGCCTGATGATCTGCTTCAGTGTTCTTCCTGCAAAGTCATAGCAAATCCAACACAACCATTTTGATTGATGTACAATGTAGATTTTCATTTAAAATTGGGTGAAAGAAACTAAAAATTATGTCTGGTTTCAAAAAATGCACACCATAATTAATTAAATATATTAGCTCCACCCTTTAACTACCACCTGAGAAGTGACTGAGAAGACAGAATTAATCCTGCCTTGAGAATAAGATCAGTAAGTCTGTTCTCCTGTCGTATTCAGAACAAAATAAAGTCATTAGAATCCCAAGAAATCTACGCTCTTGAGAAAAGCAGTATTTAGAGGACGAATTTAGGAAGGATTTTCATTTTGGCACAAATGTCAATGTCACTATAAATTTTCAATGATATAACAGTGACTGGAATGAGTATCTTGATTTAGATGAAGAAGCTGTGTTAGATGACAAAGACAAACTAAAGTCATTGTTGTACCACTCCAGTATCAACAGTTTCACCAGCAACTTTGGCAGAAGGACATTTCTTATTATTACGATTGTCAGTTTAAGACAGGGATTCGTCATCATTTATTATTATTATTATTATTATTATTATTATTGCTATTGTTATTTATTTTATTGTTATTGTCATTATTAATATTGTTACCATAGCTGGAAATTTTTTAGAGTTTTAAGTTTCATTGGTTGACCAACATAAAAGGTGTCAGCCTTATGAATTTTTATGACCTGGGGGTGAAGCCCCCAGGTCGTTCCTATATATAATTGATCTCACCGTCGCGCTATCTATATATATATATATATATACTATGTCCCAACTGAGTTTGGACCAAGAAAAACTGGAATAACTTTTTATAGGAATGTGGGATAAGAATGAGACTTTGACAGGTTCTTATTCGCCCAATGCCGCTTCAGGATCTCAGGTTTTGGGTCTCTCAGCCCTTGGGAACCCGGAGAACCTGGTTCTCCCTATAAACCCAATGGCATACCAAAGCTAACCGCAATGACGTTTAATGATGTCATAGTTTAACATAAGCACATGTGGTCGAGCGCCCAAAC